CAGGTGTTGGGCATATGCCGTGTCAATATTCTGCCGGCTGCTAGAAGAATCTTCGGATTGGCAAGCTTGGGTCTTTACTCGCATAGGCCCAAGCGGCCAGGGGGGATCAAAGGCAAAAGTCATACCTTTGTCGGACTGTGGGGTAGAATCACCCCCAGCCGCGTTTGAGCCAGTGCCCGTTTGAGTCTGACCAGCCGAAGTCACCGGCTCCTTTACACCCTCATCCACCACTTCAATGGTGGGAGTAATTCCACTAAGGCTTTTGCCTCCAGTGGTGGGCCTGCCTCCTGCAGGCGGTTTTGGAATAGACTTAGCCGGCGGGGGAACCGACATCTTTAGCACCTTAGCAGTAGGCAGAGGAATGTCCCCCGCCGGTCTTTTGACCATCTTAGACAGAGAGCGAGGAACAACTTTGTTCCCAGCCTGCAAAAATATAAAACCAACCGGTTAATGTCAACACAGCATACAGATGCTACAACCGGTGAAGTAGAGGAAATAAATGTTACCCCGCCGTCTTTAGCCGTCAGCTGCAACTTCTTCTTCTCAATTTGCTCCTTCCGGAGTAGAGCGGCTGAGGTAGTCGGTGTCTTTTCTTTCGGTATCTTCTCCATCGCAACTTCTGCAAAAACAAAAGAAGAATGGTTAATATGCAGTACTAAGTACCAATATCAGGCGACTAGGGCCGGTGATTAATAAAAACCTACTCTTAGGAAACATGGTGCTAAGGTTGCAGGCGGAGAGAAACGCCTCATCCTTGAACCAGTCCAGGTGGGGCACCCAGAACTGAGGAATTATTATCTCGCTCCCATCATCCAGGCGGGAGGTTGTCTTTTTGAAAAGGCCCTTCTGCATGATTTGATCCCATGCCTCGCTTGGCACTTTAAGTAGAGCACACTTCCTACCAAGCAAAGCTGGGTGTTTATTGTATCTACGCAGCCGACGATTAAGTTGAGGAGATGGAGAAGAGACGACATAAAATCTGCTCTTCCAGCTACTCCATTTGGACGGTTTGTCCAACGTCATCATATATTCCGGGTGCGTGGTTAGAGTATACCATGCATTCCACCCACCCGACGCCCTGCTGAGATAATGCATGTGTGCAAAGGCTTCCTAGCTTGGTTTAACCTCCTGCAACTCGCAGGCGGCGATGTATCCAAGTATGTTGACCCATGAGTTGGGGGTCAACTGCCATACGCCCAAGTCATACCCCTTAGTATGGCTTTAATGCAGTGGTGGAGGGGGAACCGGAGGCCGGCTGTGAATGCCGCCTCATAACAACCGAAGTAGTTGTCGGCATTATCCACATCGTCGGTCCAGACGACGCTTTCCTCTACAGGCGGGACAACCACTTCCCATCCCTCCCCAACCGGTTTCTTTTGTAAAAAAGCAGGGAGAGTGGCATTTAGAGTGACCACATCCCTGGCGGACATGGTCATGTCGGTAGGGTCGCCAGCAGCCGGCCACTTATAGGCTTCTTCGTCAATAGGGGCAGCCGTTCCAGGAGACTCCTCATCCGAGCCGGACTCCTCATTACCGGCTGATCCCTCTCCGGATTCTTCACCGGATCCCTCTCCGGATTCCTCAGCGTTGGAACCAGAGCTATCCAAGATACTGTCACCCGGTGTGCTAGGTGTATTCGGGGAATTTTGCGGAACCTCTTCATTAGGACCCATCTCAGCTGGTTCCTCGGCTTGTTCTTGATTTATAGGGTCAGCCGGATTAACGGCTGCATCGTCGGACTGGTAGTCAGGGTCGACTGCCGTCACTCTGATCCGAGCCATTCTGTCCTGCACATGAACAAAGACGGTCGGATTCGATGTAGGTGAAGGTTGTCCCAAGCACCCCCAGCCGGCAATCCCAGTCCTAGACTCAGCCGTTCCTGGTGACCGGCTGACCTCAGTCGTAAGCTGTGCCGTGTGTGCATTGGTGGAGTCCATATCCTAATACTATGCAACCGGAAATAAAAGAAAGTGACAAGTATGGGATGCAGGCGGTACCTTTGAAATGAGAAAGTTGAGAGTTGGCTTGAAGTCACCTCAGGCGGGGAACTCCGCAAAAGTGTTTAATACTGAAAAAGACAAAGTAAATACTTAGCCGGTTATTCATTAACTCGCCTAAAAACACCCCAGACGGTGTTCAATGAGGTGGGCCAGAAGTACCCCAGACGGTGTAAGGCTGGATGGGGGTTCTTTACAACATTTGTAATGACTAGCTAGAATATTGTAAAGCTCTCTATGATACCCCAGACGATATTCAGTGAGCTGGGTCAGAAGTACCCCAGACGGTAAAAAGACCGAATGGGGGGTTATGACTTGCATTATTGAAAAGGCTAGCTAGATTATTGTAAACCTCTCTAGGATACCCTAGACAGTGTTCAGCGAGCTAGGTTAAAAGTACCCCAGACGGTTTAAGACCGGATGGGGGGTTATGACTTGCATTATTGTAAAACTTAGCTAGATTAATTGCAGTGTACTGAATAATACCCCAGGCGGTATTCAGTGAGCAAGGTCAGAAGTACCCCCAAACGGTATAAAACCGGATGGGGGGGTTGTGATAGGAATGGGCAAAAGTAGTAAAGAGAATTGTAAAGCTCACTCCATGATACCCCAGACGGTATCAGGAACGTTGGGTCAGAGATACCCCATCCGGTAAAGATGCCGGATGCAGGTGCTGCAAGCAGCATTTAGGGTCAACCATACCTCAAACGGTAAAATACCGGATGAGGATATAGTAAGACCTGCTTCATAAAGGCGTGTTCAAACAATACCCAGACGGTGAGTCACCGGATGGGGGTACATTGAACGCATCTTTAAATTTGAAGAGGTCGCGTAAAGACAAGAATGATAACCCAACCGGCTTTAAAACCGGTTGGAGTTTTTGAATTCATTTCTTGACAAAACAATACCCAGACGGTGAGTCACCGGATAGGGGTGCATTGAACGCGTCTTAAAATTTTAAAGGTCATGAAAGACAAGGATGATGACCCAACCGGCTTTAAAACCGGTTGGGGTTTTTGAAATCACTTCTAGGTAAAAGCTCAGAAGTACCCCAGACGGTGAGTCACCGGATGGGTATTCTGAATGCCTGGTTATTTAAAGGACAAGTCTATTTAAGACTGGATCAGAGATCCCCCAGACGGTGTTAAATCGGATGGGGGTGTTTAGAATGCATGAATTCTTAGTTGAAGACCCCTCAGGCAGAGCTATGCCGGCTGAGGGAGAGAATTCAGCACTGGGATATGGGTTAAAAGCCCCCCAGGCGGCATGCAACCCGGATGGGGTAAAAACATTCAAAGTCCTCAAAAACGAAAGATAAAAGTAGAAGGAAAAGAACAGCCGGTACCTTAGAGATTGGAGAAAGAATACTCAACCGGTCGCCGGATGTGCTTGATTCGAAAATGCCGGAGGCAAAGAAACTTAGGAAATTATGCAGCCGGTATCAGAGCTCTCTCTCAGAAAATTTTGTGAAAAAAATTATGCAAAGTGTGGAGGAGAGAGAGAGTGTCTCTCATTTATAGAGAAGGAGCAGAAGGCGAAACGATGCCTTCTGCCCTAAAAACTTGAAATTTGAAAAAAGGAGGGAAGAAGACGAACTGTCTCCTCCCATGCGTCTGACAATTGTCACAGGTGACACGTGGACATGCCACATCACACCTGTGAGGGGCAGATGTTTAGGGTAAAAATACCCCTAAGACACGTGGCCCTATAAAGGCTTGCCACGTGTCAAGCTTGCAACGGTCAGCAAAGACCCAATCCCTTTGCGACACGTGTCATTGTACCCTAATTGAGGTACAGCTCTCCCCTACTATAAATAGTAAGGGCAGACATCATTAATGGGGATCGAATCATTTCTTTTTCCAACAACCAACCAAACACAAATCCCCTTGCAAACGCTCTCAAATCGAGAAGCATTTATTGTCTTATTTCCTCATTTAGAAAGAGACTAACTTAATCTTCGGAGGCGGAACACCCCAACCCCAGCCGGAGTATTCCGTTACTTGTGCAGGTACCGGCAAAGGAAGGAGCATACTAGGAAATTGTAACTCTCCCGCATGACACATAAAAAACCCCTAAACAATTTATTTCCAATTTAATATGATTTTTCAAACAATATTTCAAATAAATTAATTGAGACAAGATATATATATATATATATATATATATATATATATATATATATATATATATATATATATATATATATATATATATATATATATATATATATATATATATATATATATATATGTTCATACGTTATTTTAGGCATTTTAGGGGATTTGCGGGGGGCTAATGTCGGTGGGGGTGATGGCCGGTGATTCCGCCGGTGAAGGAAGGGTTTTCGGCAGCAGTGGGGTTCTTTGGTGGTGGAGTCACGACCGCCGGTGGTGGGGCTGGTGGCTAGGTTAGGGTTTAGGGAATGTTCTTTTTTTTAATTTTTTTTATTTTAAACCAATAAACAACTGACACATGTCCTTAGTGGGTCCCACTAATGGTTTCCATCCAAAAATCCGTTAGTGGGTGGTGAAACCAAATTTTTGGGATTTTTGGTAGTGTTATAATAAAACTTTTTTATTTTTGGTGTTATTATCAAAATCAGAGTCTTTTTTAGGTGTTATTTTCTAATTAAGCATACCAATCAGAATTCAATATGTATAAAATAAGAAATTATAACTAAGTTAAAAATAAAATACATTCTGAGTAGATGTTTTTAAAACGCATAAAATAACATATGAGACTAACAAATTAAACGAAGGGAGTATATAATTTCTTTTAACAAATTGAATAATCACACTTGCTTACAAGCATTTTATAACTCTTACACACATTGCATTCATAAAGAGCGTATACAATGATAGACGTAATTCGACCACCTAAACCTCCGTTCTAATGATTCTAGTCAAAAAGTTTACGTATCATATGATCATATCATATAATTGTCCTATCAAGATACCAATTACGAGTGTACCGTGGTACTAGACACTACTTCCACCTCACTAGTAGTATACCAAGTATTAAAACAAATAGCCACCAAAACCATCAAGATCAAAAACAAAGTTCCTTTTTGTGGTAAATTATCTTTGTTTTATCAACAAAGCCCTTTCATAAAATAAAATTAAAAAAAATGACCACTAAAAAAAACGCCATTACATGTGAAAGCCCCTTTCTCTCTCCTATAAATCCACCCTTTTCTCTTCCAGAGACTCCATTACAGCAAACTCCTCCATTCTCTAGAAACTTCCTTCTCCGGCGGCGGAGTTCCGGCGTTTCCGGCGGCGATTGCGGCGGCGAGTGGGCGGTGCAACGAACAGAGAGTGTGAAAGTGCTGCTGTATGTCAATTGTTGAGTACTTTGCTGACGATAATTACTATTACTTTTACACTGGGATCTCTAATCCTCTTCAATGGCCTCAACTTCGCAAAAAACGTCGTCTTCTTCTTCTTCTTCAATCTGCTGTAATCCCGGCGAGATCCGTAATTCTTCGCCGTCTTCCGTCGTCGTCGATCGGTCTCCGGCGGCCGATGATCGGATTGTGGGTGAGAGACCGGCGAATTTGATTCATTCTGTTGAATCGCTTCCTGAAAGTCCTACCGTAACTGCTGCTTCCAAACCTAAAGGTTGTTGCTCTCTCTCTTTCTCTTTCTCTCTCTTGTTTTTCTAGAAGTTTCGTTGGGTTTTAATTTGTGATATGTGCGAAAAAAGTGCGATTCTATGCATTTTGCTAATTTCTTGATAAAAGATGGTGAAATTGATGATAATGATCATCATTATTGAAGCTTGTTTTTGTCGTACTATGGAGAAAGTAGAATTTAATCATTTCGAATTTTATCCGTTTAGCTTTAATCAAATGGATTAGTAAATGTTTATCAAAATGTTGAATTAATTATCCCAAATTTATCCGTAATTTTGTTTGATTTTGCAATTGTTGTGACAAATTTTCGTTGCATGGAAGCTTGTTTTCAAGACTGTGTCAAGAAAATGTTTCAATTAAATATTACTGAGTTTTAATCGTGCATCCGACTAATTGTGTAATGGTCTTTACCAAGTGGATTCGTAATTTCGTAATAGTTCTTAAAGTTATATGGATGATTCTTGATTTATGGGATAGACACGAGCTTATCGATTGATGCTTAAGCGATTTACACTCAAGCATCACAGAGAAGCGTCATTTCTCCATCTTGAAAACTATGATGTTGGTTGATGATTTCAATGGAGTTGTCAACAACAAATTGTAACTAAGAGTCTAGAAATGCATGAAAGTATGGGACATGTTGAACTATTCTCTGTAATCCTTATCATGTTGACAGCTAGATAGTTGCATTAAAATTCAAGTTATCCAAGAATTAAATTAAAATAATACGAAGTAACAAGTAGATGATTATTTCATTTACTCGATTTCTTATCTGAGATTCTTTAGGTCTTGCTAGAGAATGATTTCCAGGTATTACTGGTTTTTGTTGAATGGGTCACATGTGATTGTGATCCGTCGTCCTCTCTCCACTCTTGCTCTCCATCTGTCTCTAACTGTGCTACTTTGACAGGGGCCTCTTTGCCATGGAGGGGTCGAACAAGCCACCCATTGGATCCATTATCAGCTACTGAAATCAAGGTGGCAGTTGCTACTGTCAGAGCTGCAGGAGCAACTCCAGAGGTTTCTTTCTGTTTTACTTGGTTATAATTTCTTGGGTTTGTGGTTGATTCATTAGAAAAACCAAATATTTGATGCATTCTTATTTTTGGATCTCTTTCATATTTGTTTCGTCAGGAGAGAGATAGCATGCGGTTTATTGAGGTGGTTTTAGTGGAGCCAGAAAAGCTTGTCATTGCTATGGCAGATGCATATTTCTTTCCTCCTTTCCAGCCCTCTTTGCTGCCGAGGGTAAAAGGCAGACCTGTAATACCTTCTAAGCTTCCCCCGCGTCAGGCAAGACTCATTGTCTACAATAAAAAGTCAAATGAGACTAGCATATGGATTGTTGAACTCCTCGAAATTCATGCTACTACACGAGGGGGCCACCATAAGGGCAAAGTCATTTCGTCCAAAGTTGTTCCTGATGTTCAGCCTCCCATGGTATGTGCTGCAACAACATTTAGGATTATGTTTTTTCCTTTCACGAGTCAAGTAAATAATGCTTTTATCTTGTGATGTTTTTCTCCATGTACTTGATATTCATCCTTCTCCATTATCGCTGGATGTACCTTCTACTCAACATTTATGTGTTTATGTGTGTGTTGGGGGGGAGGGGGGGGGGGGGAGGGATAGATGGGAGTTTGGGATTTTGCCCCTCATGCTTCTTGTATAAAACAAGTAATATCAATGGGGTTGATGCTTTAGTCGGTATCTAGTATGATCTGGTCTTGTTCGCCATCAGTTTCAGTCCAGCACTCCAGCTTGATGGTGTGGAAAAAAGTCAAAAATTGATCATGGATCTTATGTGATTCTTACTCTGAAACACTTTGTTTACACAGTAGCATGAGTAATATTCTTTTCCTGTTCTTGTCATTACCAAATTGATATTATATACTCCCTTCGTTCCCGAAATTTTAAATCACTTTATGTTTTTGGGTTTTTAGAAAATTTGACTCGCTCTTACTTTATTCCATTTTTAGCAAGCCTCACTTACTACATTACCCTTTCTACCCCCAGACTTTTTAGCTCTTTTCACTCACTCGCTTACTCTATCCACATTTTTTTTATATTACATCCGCTTATGGCCCACCTATATCTCTCTTGCTTTATCCTCCGTATTCTCACACAGTCACACCTATTCACTTTTCCTAACTTTTCTTGAAACAATAGTCTACATTAGTAATTTCATTTAGTTATTATATCTTACAAAATATACATTAGTAAGTGACATAAATCATTCATATATAGTTACCAATGGATATGGAAAGAAAGGGATTTAAATCATTGTTATGAATGATCTATTTTATGATTTCATATTGACCAAAGGCTGGGTTTAGATTGTTCACGGTTTAGATTATTAACCGCCTCCAATGCCGCACATTTGTTATTATTTTCGGCCAAGTTTTTTTTTTTTTTTTTTTTTTTTTGTAGTTGTTATTATGAAGTTATTGGATATTTCCTTCAAAAAAAAAAAATGAAGTTGTTGGATACTGACCCTGAATGGTTGTTTGTACCATTCTAGAGTTTTCGTGGAGACATGTTTGGGGGAGGAAAGATAGGGGGGGGGGGGGAGGGAGGGAGGAATATTAGCCCAAGTATACACACTACACACCACAGTGAGGTCCAACTCCAAATAAAATTGGCAATGAATGTATTAGCCTGTTAATTTTTCGTATTAGAGTACTCTATAGGGAATCTCATTTTCCAATTTGGGATTTCATGATTTACCCAAAAAGTACCCTTTTGTTTGTGAGCAATATAATGATTAGTGTCATGGCCTCATGGGATTACATCTTTTATGACCGGCTTCTAGAAAATGGTTAAGGCTCTGCTCTCTTCACCTTATTTGGTCCAACTTTCTACTTTGACTTCAAAAATGTTCTCCTTAAGCTCCTCATTCTTAAGTGATTCGTATTAAAAAGCATTTCTCATATCTCATGGCGAAGAGATTAACTATTGGACAAAGATAGATCTTGTTACTTGTTGATAGCTATAGCTGTGTTTTTTCATTCTTGTTGTTTGATGTGTGCCCATAGTTGTCTATTTCCATTTAATATCTTCCTGTTTCTTTTAATAAAATTGCAGGATGCTGTAGAATATGCTGAGTGTGAAGCAGTTGTGAAGGATTATCCACCATTCCGAGAGGCAATGAAAAAGAGGGGTATTGATGATATGGATCTCGTTATGGTAGATGCATGGTGAGTTACAGATAATTAGTACTTTGCTATCAAGTTTAACAGCTTTCTTTTGCCTGCTCATTTTCCTCTTTTTGATCTGTAAATGAATCACTATCATTACCATTACTGTTCTGCAGGTGCGTTGGTTATCACAGTGAGGCTGACTCTCCAAGCCGTAGGCTCGCTAAGCCCCTTATCTTCTGCAGAACTGAGAGTGATTGTCCGATGGAGAATGGTTATGCTCGTCCAGTTGAAGGAATCCATGTTCTGGTTGATATGCAAAATATGGTATTGGTTGAGTTTGAGGACAAAAAATTTGTTCCTCTACCACCTGCTGATCCATTAAGAAATTACACACCTGGTGAAACAAGAGGAGGTGTTGATCGAAGTGATGTAAAACCATTGCATATTCTTCAGCCTGAAGGGCCTAGTTTTCGAGTGAAAGGCCATTTTGTTGAATGGCAAAAGGTGTTTTATTGCTTGTTTAAATTGCTTTGTAGCATAACCTTGCAAGTGCATGTATGTTTTTTTAACTATCATACTGAATCATGCTTATTTTACTTAATTCTCTCTCTTATTTTGCTTAAATTTGGTTGGCAGTGGAGTTTTCGTGTTGGATTTACTCCTCGGGAAGGTTTGGTTATACATTCTGTTGCATATGTTGATGGAAGTAGAGGCCGCCGTTCTGTAGCTCAGAGGTTAAGCTTTGTTGAGATGGTGGTTCCTTATGGTGATCCAAATGAACCACATTACAGGAAGAACGCATTTGATGCTGGTGAAGATGGTCTGGGAAAGAATGCGCATTCTCTGAAAAAGGTTAATATCTGCCCTTGTTAGTCTGCTTTTCTGATCACTTGGGTAATCTTAAGCCAAATTCTCTGCTGCTTTTTGGATAGAATATGAAGTAACTGTGTTGTTACATTTCCAATGCTGCAGGGTTGTGATTGTTTAGGCTCTATCAAATATTTTGATTCCCATTTTACAAACTTTACTGGAGGTGTTGAAACAATTGAAAATTGTGTCTGTTTGCACGAGGAAGACCGTGGAATATTATGGAAGCATCAAGACTGGCGAACAGGGTTAGCTGAAGTGAGAAGATCTAGAAGGCTTACTGTTTCCTTCATCTGCACAGTGGCCAATTATGAGTATGGATTCTATTGGCACTTTTACCAGGCAAGTTGTTTTTTTTGCCTGTTTCTGCACTGGGTCTATTTAGTGCTTATTTGGTTGACAAAAAAGATTCGGATGATTGCACTTTCATTGCAGTACCAAGTTTTGATTATTTGGTTAACAAAAATGCCGCAATTATACCTCAAAAATGGAAATGTTCTTACCTTGCCCTTGTAAGTTAGCCGAAACAAGATTTATCAAGCTGACAATTTAGGGTACATCACAGGATATTGCTTTCCTTGACATGTACCATTTCTTAAGAAGTAAAGCTCCTAGATCCAACTAAGGAATCATTTTGTTTGGTTAGTAGACAAATTTTGAAATTTTGTGAGTGTTTGATGGTTGGATCATTAGTAATTGTAAATTAGTTTGAAGCATAACTCTGTAATCTGTTAGCTTTATGGGAAGTAGTTTTCTGATTCTGTGTCCCCACATTTTACTTGCTCTTATATGGGAACCTAAACGTTTGAGTTGTCTTACAGGATGGCAAGATTGAGGCTGAAGTTAAACTTACTGGGATTCTCAGCGTAGGAGCACTTCTGCCTGGTGAAGTACGAAAATATGGTACTACAATTGCTCCTGGGTTGTATGCACCTGTACATCAGCACTTTTTCGTTGCTCGTATGGACATGGCTGTTGATTGCAAGCCTGGCGAAGCTCTGAATCAGGTAATTCATGTGATTGCAAGTTATAGCAATATTTTTTTAGACATGCTCTTATGGATGCATTGGTTTTGCACTTTATATGGTAAATTTTTATTACTTTAATAGTATCAGCTTTTGAGGTCAAGCATTAAACTGTACACTGAATTTCCAAGGCTGTGTTGTGTGGTTGATGTGGAGAAAATACAACTGCAGTATGCCTGTGACCTCGGGGGCTGACATATTTGTCTGACTGTCTTCTTAAGATTGGCAACTTGTTCTATTGCAACACTTTATCATTTAATGCTTATCTGCTCTCTGTAGGTTGTTGAGCTGAATGTCAAGGTACAGGAACCTGGGAAAGACAATGTTCATAATAATGCATTCTATGCGGAGGAGAAGCTACTTAGATCTGAGTTACAGGCAGTGCGTGATTGTAATCCATTGACTGCCCGCCACTGGATTGTAAGATACTCTGACCCTTTGAAGTATCTCTTAACTGCTGATGACCACCCCCCCCCCCCCCCCCTCTTAATATAAATTGAGGAGTTTACCAATGCTAGCTAGCTCTACTTTGGAATACGCACTTAAACCCTTACTATTCCCTCTCCTTCCTTCCTTTGGAGTATATATTTACATTCTACAAAACATCTCTCCCTTTTTTTCAATTTCAATTTTAGTAATTTCCAAAATGATTATTAACGAAGTTTCAGACTTTTGAGAAGAAGAATGTCAAGTTGTTCATCGTCTGAAATTTCTTTAATTATCATTTTGGAAATTACTAAAATTGAGATTGAAAAAAAGGAAGAGTTGTTAAGATATTTGTAGAATGTAAATATATACTCCAAAGGAAGGAAGGAAGAAGAGGGAATAGTAAAGGTTTAAGTGCGTATTCCAAAGTGGAGAGCTAGCTAGCATTGGCAAACTCCTCAATTTAATCCTCTGAACCTTGTTAGCATTAATTCCTCAATTTATAGCTAGCATTGTTCATAATAATGCATTCTATGCTAGCTAGCAATTGTGCTTTTGAACCTTTATCTTTTATTTCGCTCCTTTCTTAACATTAGGCACTGAGTGCAAGTTTCTGAATTCAATTTCATAATCTAGGTCAGGAATACAAGAACAGTTAACCGTACTGGCCAGCTGACTGGTTACAAGCTTATGCCGGGGTCAAACTGTTTACCATTAGCAGGTCCTGAGGCTAAATTCCTGAGAAGAGCTGCCTTCTTGAAGCATAACTTATGGGTTACACAATATGCTCCTAATGAGATGTTTCCTGGTGGAGAATTCCCAAATCAAAATCCACGTGCTGGGGAAGGGCTGGCTTCTTGGGTTAAACAAAATCGTTCTTTGGAGGAGGCTGATGTAGTTCTTTGGTAAGTTTTCTTTCTGTACCGCAGGAGTGCAGGTTCTCAATAGGCTGAATAACTGCAGTTGTACTTGCATGTGTTTATAAATAAACATGTCTCATTTTTTTGTTTTTTAAAGTTTAAACTCTTTTGATTTCTCGAGTTTGGAAACTTTGTATGGTATGACTCATGGCAAATCTTTATACATTTCCTAATCGCCAGTCAACTTTCATTTTTTCTTGTGCACCTACTCATGTTTCAAATTGCTGTAGGTATGTATTTGGGTTGACACACATACCGCGTCTGGAGGACTGGCCAGTCATGCCTGTCGAACATCTGGGCTTTACACTCATGGTAAGCTAATCCTTCTTTGTTGGATCAGACTCTGCTTCACCTATTATAAAGAAAGGGAAAATTCAGTGTGTACTAAATTCTGGACCATTCTGTTGACTATAACGATTTGCTGTATTTCTGAAACTTTAGTTTATTGTAAACTTTAGCTAATAGAATAAAAAGAGGTCATTAAAATTCTATCATATGACTTCACATCTAGCTCCAGATCCAAGGGACAATCAGAACATAGACCGCATAGCCAACTATCCTATGACTTTGATACTCTGAATTGATTGTGCGAAAAACATGCTGAGTCTTTTATCTGCTTCCTCTTATTGCTTAATTGTGATCACATATAGTATGTTTTTAGCCAGTTTCCCCTATCCGAATAGATGCAATATACTCATGCTATCCTTTTGTTTCTTCTTTGCTATTTGCAGCCCCACGGATTCTTTAATTGTTCACCTGCAGTTGATGTACCACCCAACACACATGAGTCTGATATGAAGGAAACTAATGTTGTGGGTGCTAAGCCTATTCAAAATGCGATGATTGCCAAACTCTAAGGAATTGAGAATGTCTGTTTACTTGCACTTGCAGTGTCCATTAGCTTGAAATCTATCATTGGAGTTGCCCAATAATTTCCTGTCGTAAAGATTTCAATAAGTTGATCCTAATGTGAACCATAGTGTTTAGATTGAAGATGGTTTATGATGGTACTTTCAACAAAGTGCAATATTACAAATCATTTTGGCATACTTGAGATGAGGCCAATTACTAATGTGATTGTTTCATATGGTTTGCATGCGTCATACAATAACGTTTTGGACAGAATATGTTTGTGGTGTTTTGAGAAAACAAATGTGTTAATTTCCAAATTGCCTGGAGAGAATTGGATATTGTTTTTGTAACGAAAGGTACCAAATTGTTCATGCTATAATTTTATTAATAACATGACTTGATGTTGACTTGAATATATGTGCTTATTTGGTTGGCAATGTCATAGGGATTGAAATTTCCTTTAAAAAAACCTTCACTTACTACAAATTATGAGCGATTTACACAAGTATGACTTATCCTAAAACTTATTTTAACTCTTATGTCTGAATACAATGGGAGTATTAGACATGTATTTTTATAATTTTGAGCTGTAACTTGTTGTCTCATATGGCAATACTGAGAATGCAACCATACTTCGGTCTTGGTTTTATGCCCACAGAATACAGATATTGAAGTATCATCAATCTGTTGGATAGTATGCATGGCCTTTAAAGTTCCACCTACTACAACCGTGCAAGCACCCCTTTTCCCCAGCCATTAATAATAGGAAAAATTGGCCGCAACAACAACATTTCCCTTCGTTCTATATGTATTAGCAATAATGATCTTAAATGAGCATAAATTGACCCAGATTATTCATTAAAATTCGAATGAGCATAATTTAATTATTCAACATAACGGATTTTAATTTTACTGCAGTTGAACAAATAGAGGTAATGAATGAACATAATTTGATGCATTTAATGAGAATAATGATTAATTAATCTTGAATTCTGCATAAATTTTAAATTTTGATGATTAAGCATATTAAATTTATCATGGTTAATTATCATGTTGGAAATGAGCAAATTGAAACATATGGGCAAACCTAAATGAACAAATTTAGGTGAAATTGATTTGATTTTATGTGGTGGGAGATTAATGTGTTTTGCTCATTTGAACTAATTTTGCTAATGATAAAATCATGTGGTACAAGATAAATAGTAGATGTATTCTTATTGCTGCAGATCGAAGATCAAATGTATGAATAATTGGACAACCTATACAAAGAAGCTGTAGAATCAGAGCTACTTGGTTTCAATACAATTGAAGAAGCTAAGCATTCAAAATTAGTAATTCCGAGTATGTTGGTATTGGATTCCTTATTTGTGAAATGAGCAAAATTGGTTTGCTTATTTGTGAAATGATCAACATAGTTTTGCTCATTTGACCAAATTGATCAAGGTAATAAGGCAGCATTGTACCATTTCGAGCTCTTTAGATGCTCCGAATGAGTCTTTTGGGACCAAATGGTTATGGCTTACCAGCAAGTGTAATGCTAAGGTTTTGATGTCCCTTTGTGCAAGTGTAATGTAAGCTTCATGGCATTATATTCAATAATGAGATACCTAACTATGTAATGCATGGTTGTAGCGGGTTTTTCATGTTTTGTGGAGGAGTATGGAAGGTATGCAAGGCGGGTATTTGCCTTGAAATGTGCTGTTGTTGCTCGTACAATTGCAAGGCCTGCTGATGTGCAGGCACAGTTAGCAGCATAGTATGTGAGGGTTCTTGCATAGGGACTATTACCAGTGCGGATGGACCAGGGGCTGCTGCAACTAGCGCTAGTCCAAGTCTTGCAGCACTGAACTCGCGTATTTTACCTGTTGCTGGACTTGGTCTGCTGGGGTGCGTTAAATTATTTTGTAATCTGCTCATTTGCTTGTATTGAGTAAATGAGATAAAAAAAAATAACTTAGAGATTATCAAGAAGGTGAATATGAATCACTAATCCAAGTTTTAAGTATGTGAGATGTTTAAATTTTTTTTTTTTTTTTTTTTTTTTTTTTTTTGTTTATTTATCAAATGAGCAACATTTATCAACTAATAGTAATTGTAAATGTTCCTCTAAGTTCAGATTTTAGCTTCTTGCCTTCTTAACTACTTTATTTAATTTTATTTTTTATCATGCTAAGTGCAATGAGCTAATGTAGAATTATAAATGTTTTGAAACTAGTAGCCTATGTAGGATTTGAAACTATATCATCTGTGCAATATAGGAACACAGTGCTCGACCAATTGAGCTAATAGGCTTACAATTTTACTAACACACCAAAGTAGATATAGTGCACATAAGAGATAGTAGCCTATGTAGGTAACTTATAGTATTTATGGAATAAAATGAGCAAATGTAACTATATTATGCCAAGAAAATGCACACAAGAGATTATAATATCATTTGAAGTTTCTCTTAACAAGACTAGAAAGAGATATTAATCAACTATATCGACCATATTAAAAGGCAACCCAAGAATGCAAAGGTAGTACTTAGCAATCTAGTGGACTCAATGGACCATCTTTTGCAGCACAAATATGAGTTTCGCATACTTGATGCACTCAATTAATCAATACATGAGCAAAATATATTTGCTCATCAAACAAATGAGCAAATTTTTTTGAAAGTTAAGCAAATAACAATCTTGACATAGTTGCTCATTTGAGCCTAATTACAGTAAAAGAGCAAAAATAATGTACATTCATGCCTGTTATAGCAGCAACGCACCTTTAGTAGCCGCATAAACATTAACAGTACCTATAGATGTAACCCCTGCAACAGATGATATGATGATAATGCTTCGAGCTCCAGAATTTTTTAAAAGAGGGTGCGCAAGCTAACAGAGATGATAAGCAGATTCCATATTGGTGGACCTCAGTAATTGCTTGTCTTTTATTTGTACTGACATTATCTACATGGAAACAAAGAAAGTATCACCAAGATAGCACATGACAGTCTCTTAATACCCAAGCACTTTATTTATACAGAAAGAACATCCAAATTCCAATTGTTGAAAGCAGGATAAAAAATACAAAAAAGCTTTCAAACACATTGAAGCCAGCAGAAAGACTATCTCTTTGAGGAGTTGGTACTACTGTACTAATGTGGATGATGCCATATAACCTTATAACATGCAACCACAAATGATGAAAAAGAAAGGCATATAAAAACAACCAGCAGTCCAGCACGATTGTAGAGATGTAGATATGCAGGGAAAAAAAAATCATCATGCTGCAAAAGAGTGCCTTCACAAAAAAAAAAAAAAAAAAAAAAAAAAAAAAAAAAAAAAAAAAAAAAAAAAAAAAAAAAAATCAATAAATCTACTGCTTCAAGGGAAAATAGGTTGGTCTAAAGGCTCCTCAATTGGGAAATTTACTTTGCACCTCCAACAAATCACTGAATGTATTTTGAAGGTAAGGCAGTGCCATGTTGCTTGGGTAAGGGACGAGAATCAATAAGGGTGTTCAGATCATCCAAGGGCTTCGGCTTATCTAGGTTCAATTCAGAGATCTCAATCAACACAATGGGATGCAAACCTTTATAAGTCTTCTCTGTTATCATCTCGGAAAGTTAGTTAACTACGTGCCAACGTTCGAAACCAAAAGGTAAAATGCACCTATGCCACCAGCAGAGTTCGAGCTGACATAGACATCAAAATTAATTTTTATAATGCTAGAAGGAGGGACAAACCAGATAGCTTGGGAGGGAAAACCTTCGTTGCATACATTTTGTAATCATGTATTAACTTTGCGAAACTAGCTGCCATTACATTAATATTCAGAGCCACACCTTCAAAAATACTCTTGTTCCTACAAAACCAAACTGACCATGCAATTGACAATAGCACACAAAGTTCCTCCTTGCTAATCTTATCAGCAATCCATAGCACTCTTTCAGCAAAAGAAGCCTGCATCGGGGACTCAAAAATAACTGCAGCATGTTCATAATTGTCCCAGATATGCCTGATTGCAGTACAGTTAAACAGAGCATGTGAAATAGTCTCCACCTCGCTCTCACAGGCTGTGCACACATCACAGGTAGCTATGTGGTGTCTATGCAACTCCTTTTTCACACCGAGGCTTCCCTTACAAGCCCTCCACACAAAATGGCTCAATTTCGGAGGACCACCCAAGCCCCACACCAATTTCCACAACTTTCGCTCATTTGCATTTTGATTCGGATTACTCACAAAATTCACACCCATTTTACCCAGCCAGTAAGCATCATATTTGTCTTAGATAGATATTGATTAATAGGAATAAGCAAATGACCCTTTGCAGAGTATTGAGATATGCCCTTACTAAGCATAAATTATCAACAAAAGATAGTTTAAAGAACTTCTTTTAGCAAAATAGTACCCCACCTCCCACCCTAACCAAAAGAATGCTGCACAAGTGGAGTAGTTGGCAGCGAGATTAGACTACAAATCTTAATCCATTTCCTATTTTCAAAAAGAAAAATTAAAGGCTACATCATATTATACTTCCTATAGATGAAAAAAGATGTATAAAATGTCAGTGATCACCATTTCACTATAGATTGGAAGCATGTCAGTTGCAGCTGAAAGTTATGTCCTCAGATTATTAAGTCTATTTCTACTTTACTTCATTTGCACTACAAATGTCTACATTATATTTGATCTTTCCCGCATTACATACGTGAGCAGCTTGACACACTTACACAACCGAGCGCACACACACCTCAATCATAACAATGCAAAACAAAAAGCAACTTAACTATGCTGCCAAAAAAATGAGCAAAAATATACTACGTAAATGAGAACAAAAATATAAATGAGCAAAAAAAACACAAAATGAGAAAAAAAATCATAAAATGAACAAACATAGGAAAAATGACCAAACATAAAACAGAAATTACACAAAAAGTTGAACAACATGAGCAATTAATCACTCATAAAAGGAAAACAATTACACCAAAAAAAATAGCAAAATGAGCAATTAATGACACATTAATGAAATTTAAACAGAAATTGAACACAATTAAGGACACATTAATGAAAATAAAACAAAAATTGAAACAAAAATACATGAAATTTAAGAAGTATAATTAATACTCTGTATAAAATTGAGCACAAAATTTTATACGAATTATAATTTAGCAAAAAATTTTGAAACGATTGAGCACAAAAAGTTTATACGAAGTATAATTAATCACACAAAAATACATGAAACTTAATTCGAAGTATAAGTGAACAAAAAATACATTAAATTGATCATTATGTCACCAAAAACACAAACAAAAATTGGAAAAAAAAAAAAAAAAAAGAGAGAGGAAATTTACCTAGATTCCTCCATTGTAGCAACTTGACGCAATTCTAAGCATAATCTGGAAATGTAGATAAAGAAATTGAAGACAGGAAACGAAATTCTGGAAATTGAAGAACAGAAAGAGAGAAGGAAGAGAGAGAAAATAAAGAAAAAGAACAGAAACACGAGTAAAGCGTGAACCCAGGTATCACGTGTACAAGAAAAAACGCGTGAAATGACAATAATAACCCTGGCTGTATCATACACCCAAGTATATAACACTAATTCTAGTCTTAATAAGCCTAGTTCTTGTTGTTTTAACTTAAAACTCTTTCAATATATGCAAATTAATCCATTGTCCAAAAAAAAAAAAAAAAAAAAAAAAGCGAAATACGCATAACCCCAAAGAAGTACAGAATGCATATCTTAAGAAGTTAGTTGAACACGGATTGATTTGTGAGTTTTCTTTTTAGCCGAATGCAATGTTTATATGTAATCATAATTGTAAGTGCCGATTGTGCAAAGAAAAGGTGATTAATGACTATGTAGCTATTTACTATAATTAATTTTCTAATGGGTATACAACTTCTTTAATTTTACTTCTAATTTAATTTTGAATATTTTTAATAAAAGACAAGCTCTTAACTAATTTTACTATTTTTTTAAATAAAAGACAAGTTCTTAACTAGATTGTCCTCATTATAGGGTTTAGAGGCGGCATGTGGTTCTGGATGGACAAATATCCGCTACCTAATTAAATTTATTTATTTTTGACAAATACCTAATTAAATTATTGGATCTTGGCTTACACCTACTTAAATCAACTCATTTTCCATATCCATTCTTTAGTTTTTTTTTTTTTTTAACATTTTGACATTATATTATTGCATAAATTCCCTTGGCTATAATATATTGTAATGACTATAATTGTTAATTAGTATGAACTGTATCATAATACAATAATTTGAATTATCATTTAAACAACTAATTAAATTTCAAGGATGTTATTTATGATTGTACTAATAGAAATTAAAGGATACACCATATGTTATACGTTCAAAGTCTAAGTAAACTAGCCAATAACATTTTAAACTAATGCAAGAATTGTGCATATTTACAAAATAATACTCTATGAATCATTTTTTTCTGGTCACATATTACTTGGAAAAAATAGCTTATACATCGTTAATAATTATGACGTCGCGTATAAAATATGAATCATTGATTTCATGGTTGGTGACTATTCAAAAGAATATACATATACAAATTGTTGTTGCATATTGATTTTGTTCTCCAGTGATGTCTATAATGTTACCAACCAATAGTTTATTGATGCTTTGAACATAACCTACAAGGTTATCAAAAAAAATAGTTGAAAGACTTGAGACTAATCAAATAAAGTATACTATTATGGTCAATTATACTTAAAATTAAACAAGGAGATGGGTGGCATGCCGATGTTGAATTCATTTATAAAATAATCTTCAATCTCAACATGCATTTAAAAAAGAGAAAATACAAGTTAATCAACTAGATCAACAAAAATTGTCAATCATAAGGGCATTTTAGGTTTTTCCTTCATTTAATATAGGACAATTGGTAAAAGCATAAGCATGATTAGACAATATTGCCAAATCACCATCGCCATTTTATAGTTGAAACTTACCACCATAAACAGTTAAACACCAAGCCTCATGAAATAACGCATCGACCACAATCACCACCACTATGACACCCCTGTTACGTTGTCGGCAGCGCAAGAAGGTATCGGTACGGTAGTGAGCACGATACGACATCCTTTTTTTAATTTTTATTCTATTTTATAAATGGATGGCGATTTTTGAAATTTTCCGACAGAAATTGAAGCTCCAAGGGTAGCATTAATGGAGGAGGATAGCACCCCTTCCCTTTAGGGTTAACCATGTCCTTCATTTCACCTTTTTAACATAGGGATTTCGTTTAATTTGGCGGCAAAGCCGCCGTGATGTCTTCAGTAGAATATGATGGTTTGGGTGAAAGGTGGAAACGATGCAGATGGTGTCGGTGGAAGGAGAAGGTGACGCAGATGGTGTCGGCATGGTGGAGTCGGTGGAAGGAAGTGGGAGGTGTCGGTGGAAAGAAGCTAATTAAGGTTGAAGCTTCAAGGAATATTAATGTCTACTTTGATGACTAAGCAGTGACTAAGCATAGATTGACAAAATTTGTTGATCTAATAGATCAACTGGGGCTCCCTCTTTAAAAGAAGGGGTGTTTGGTTGTTAGACCTCTCTTAAATTAGACTGAAATGAAGTTAGAATTATTTCAATGATACTATACATAATACATCTACCATGGAACCTCAACTCTGGGGACTTTAGTTCTACACTTCTACACCCCTCATAATATTTTACTTAGCTCACTAGAAGCTCATCCCACCCTAGACACAAAAGTTGTCTCATGTCACAAGTTGAACCTTCTCCCTTCTGTGCCATGATATATTCTTGGTGGATAAAAGTCATTATTTTCTAGGTTTCTGCGATCGAAATTGTCATTTCCGTATTCGTTTGAATTGGGTTTTTTAAGAGCTAATTATATTCATGTCTTGTTTACTTTACCTATGTACTTTGTACTCCGTATTGTTTAGTTACTTTACCAGCGATTGGTATGTATGTATGAGTGTAACATTATTTTATAAATTTTTTATGTACCACAATGCAGTAATAACCATAACTAATTGATGTATGGAGTATTTTATTATGAAAAGAGTAGAGTATATAGGACGGGAAGAATACAATATTATGAAGAATTATTTATTCCATTTAAAAAGAGAGAATTCATCTCATTAAAGACAATGTCCCCTAATACGGTAATACTCATGCAACTAGCAAGCATTGATATTGTATAAAATTTTTGGGGAAGCAATAAAAAGTTTAACAGACATTCTGATCCGTGAATGTGGTTTAGCTTCATTATTTTATCCACTTCAATTTTTAAAGTATAGTTTAGCATATACGGAGTGGATTTTATTTTATTAAGCAATAAATAGATATGAATGTGAGTATGTGACATCTGAAAATACTCCTACTAGGGTATAAGGCTATTGCTATACGTAGTAAGTTTTAACAATTGAAAATTCTAATGTAGTCTTATGACTTTTGACCACCACAATTTTTTAAAATGGACGGTTGAGATTATTTGTTTTTTGATATATTTTTAATTAAAAATTATTTTTTAATTATTTTATATATTTTTTTATTTCCAAAATTTCGAAAATATTAAAAAATAATTTCTGGAAGATAAAAATTATGTTTTTAATTAAAATTACTAATTAAAAATAAATCAAAAAACAAATAATCTCGACCGTCCATTTTAAAAAACTATGGTAATCAAAAGTTATAAAACTACATTTGAATCATCTTTTAACAACCCTTAAATATTTATCCCTAATTCCCTGCCACAATATTCATGAATCTATCGAGCTAATGAGTTTCAAATGAAATTTATTTGATAAGAAGTTTATTGATTGCCAATATGTGTTACTTAGACTGATAAAATAATAATAATAATAATAATAATAATAATAATCTCTTTCTCGCTGGTAAGTGTCCTATGGAGCTAGGAGGGTATATTGCTAGTGCTCCTCTTACACCACTTGTCAAGCCTGGTGGTGGTATTCGTCCTATAGCTGTGGGTACTGTTTGGCGGCGTCTGGTTTCGAAGGTCGATGTTGTTATGGTTGGTCTGTCTTTAGGAAGCTACTTTGATGGTCTCCAATTTGGTGTTGGAGTTTCTTCGGGAGGTGAGGCGATTCTTCATGCTGTGAATCGGTTGATTGAGGATTGTGGTTCCAATGTGGGTCTTTCTATGCTATTGGTGGATTTTCAAAATGCCTTCAATCTAGTTGATCGTGCGGTCATGTTACGGGAGGTTCGTCGTCGTTGTCCGGTCCTTTCGCGCTGGGTAGAGTTCTGCTACTCTAATCCAGCTAGATTGTATTACGGGGACCACACCTTATGGTCGTCTCAGGGAGTGCAGCAGGGTGATCCCCTTGGTCCTTTGCTATTTGCTTTGGTTTTACAGCCCCTAGTGTGTAAGATCAGAGACACTTTTGATGTCTGTCTTCAGGCCTAGTATTTGGATGACGGTACTGTGATTGGTGACACGTTGGTGGTAGGGAAGGTTCTGCAATTGATTATGGAGGACGGGCCTCGTTTTGGGTTACATCTTAACGTGGAAAAAACTGAAGTTTTCTGGCCTACAGAAGACCCTCGAAGCAGGCTTGTGGGTGTCTTTCCGCCTAATATTGCTCGACCCTTGCGTGGTGTTAAGCTGCTTGGTGGTCCCGTTAGTTCCGATTCCGGTTTTGGAGGTGAGCTTGTGATGCAGAGGGTGACAAAGACCATTGCACTTATGGATAGGGTTGCTAAGCTAGATGATCCTCAGTGCGAGCTGTTGTTGCTTAGGGCTTGTACCGGAGTTTCTAAGCTATACTTTGCATTGCGTACTTGTCCTCCTAGTACCTTTGAGACGGCTCAGCGCACATTCGATGGGGCACTTAGATCCTCATTGGAGCGTATTGTTACTGCTTCAGGGCCTGGGTTTGGCGATTGGCAATGGCGGCTTGCCACCTTGCCTTTTGCTTATGGCGGTCTTGGTGTTTATTCCGCAGGTGATGTTCGACATTATGCTTTTCTTGCTTCCCGGTTACAGTCTGCTGGGTTGCAGACACAGCTATTACGATATGCTGGTGTTGTTGGTCTTGGACGAGCCTTTGGATATGCGTTGAGTTTGTTTAATGGAATAGTGGAGTCTGACATTATGAGTAATCCTAGTGAGGTCGCTGCCCCTAAACTCATGAAGAAATTGGCAGATATGTATTTCACAAAGGTTACCGCTTCTGCAGAAGCCGCTTATTCTTTGACTCCTCGGCAATCAGCATTGTGGAAATCGCAACAGGGAGATCACACCTCTGCTTGGCTTCGGGCAGTCCCTATTTCTGGGTTGGGTCAGACGATGAACCCAAAGACCTACCGATGTGTGTTGTGCTATAGGATGGGTGTTGCATTGTTCTCTATCTCGACACCATGCTCTGCTTGTTCTCGGGTTTTTCCTGGGGATATTTTCGGTGATCACGCGGTGTCGTGTGCTGGTCTTGTCGGTATTAAACATCGGCATAATATTGTCCGGGATACCCTTGTTGATATCTGCTACAGATCTGGGATCTCGGCAAGAAAGGGGGTTGACATAGGGTTGTCTGGAGGGAATGACGGGGCCCTTAGACCTGCTGATGTGTTACTTTATTCTTGGGATCGTGGTCGCGATGTTTGTGTGGACTTAACAGGGTCTTCTCCATTGACACAGACAGGGCTTTCTGACTTTGTTCCTGGACGGGTTGTGGCTGATGCG